ATCCCAAATCCCCACCTCAGCCAGTTCGTTGATCCTGTAAAAAAATTCCCCATGAACCAAGCATTGCCGCGTCAACTATACCTGACAGGAAGAAAGGACGCATAGCTCTACTACGTCCAGGATGCATGTCTCTATAATTAGTCGTTGGATATGCTCCATCCAATGGTCGAAAGATAGCAAATCCAAGCATTATCCTTCCTCAGATAGAAGTTTTCAGCTCAAAGAATTATGCCATACCACATATTAATTAGCCCAAACAATAAGTGTCATACATGCGGCACGAAGACGCGGCCCTGACGTTTTTTACAACTCAAGTTGCCATCCAAAATCAAAAAACAAACCCCAAAAAAACTGAAACTTGTCATCCGAAAAAAATTTGGCATGCTTGACAACTAAAGTTGTCATCCTCGCGTCACTAAACTTGCCATAAAAATGTTTGGATTTGACATGTGTCAGTGCCACACGTGTGACACTTATCAGGGTCCTTAATTAAACCCCCATCATATAATCTTATTAGTGTTGTGTTTCCCCATCACTGGGGTAGTTGCTTACTTTTTAATCAAATTTGTTAAGAAAATAACAATATTGTGTCACTAGAACAGTTGTTTTTTTAGGGGCACTGGAGTAGTTGTTTACAAATATATATCATCGTTGAAATTATTTGAAAAAGGTTCATGAAGATTGCATGATTATTGGTATATGTTAACAACATATATGCTTGAAAGAACACTTTGAGACACAAAGTTTAGGCATGCCAAAAAAGATGCAAAGGAATTTCTTGAAATCATACCTGATGGAACTCTCTTTTTTTATGAAAGAGAGATCGCCTCTCCGATTTTCATTACTAGAAATCACCAAGTCTTACAAGAACCAAGAGAAAGAAACCACTTCTAAACCTACCTGATGGAACTAATCATCAATTCTAAAAGAATACCTTCAGTATTCATGACGGAGCACAGGCATGTCTCTCACATCATGAAATGTCCATGCACCACAATCAATGCGCTCCATTGTATCCAGCAACCCACATCCGTCTAACTTCATTCTCGGATCCAGAACGACACCATCTTCTCCATCAACTGGCACTAGAAGTTGACGCATGCTTCGCCTCGCCGATTTTCACTATTGCGTCAGCTGTGTACTTTTCTTAGATGTTGTATTGCTGATGTTTGTTGGACGAAGTGTGTTACGCCCCTTATTTTGTAGGCTATTAGTGTGGCTAGCTTGTTCCTTGTCTTTATATTGGACGGGGATTTACTTGTAAGTGCAGGAGTGGTGGACAGTTGTGGATATTGCGTTCCTACAAGTATGATATTTAATTTGCCATCATTCGGCGATGCGAGTGTGAGCCGTGATGCGGCTCTATATGTGACACATGGCACATGATAGTCTACACGCATGCCAAATAACTTTATCCAATTAACTGAAACAACGAACACCATCTTACAACTGGGACCCACATGTCCTATGTACCCATGATGCACCAAAGATTTATATTCCACAACCTTGAGCGTTACACTTTTCACTTCCCAAATCAACCTAGCATTTAAGCATCTCCTTTCAGCATGGCTCAATACATACATCATACTTTGGTGCTACCTAAAAATTAGTATTCTAATATACAAAGATGAAACAAATAATCATAGTATATGTTATTCTCCATACCAGTCCTTCAAGTGAAATAGGTGCTCGAGACCTCGGCAGTCCGGCCTTTCCATACAATCCATGAAGGATAGATGCCGGCTAAGATGGGTAAACCAATTGTTGCTTCATCAATCTAATGAGTGGAACAAGCTGATCATAGACAAGTTGTTCTATAATTTTGAAGCGGAAGAAATATACATGATTAAACTTCCCCAAAATCAATGGTAGACATTCTGGCTTGGAATTATGAGAAGAATGGTACATTCACGGTTAGGAGTGCTTATCAGTTTGGAGTTTCTTTGTTGGGTGGATCTAGCGAAGGATCCTAAAAAAATCCCAGTAATGATAGGGAGAGCTTATGGAATCTAGTTTTGAAAGCAAAGGTACCCCATAAAGTCTGTATCTTCACCTGGAGGGCTGCCACTGACTCTCTCCCTACGAAGGACAACAAGCACAAGAGGACTCTTGAATTGGATGGTATATGCAACTTATGTGGAGTTGATGTTAAAAACGCACATCATGCTACTGTTGTATGTACAAAAGAGAGAGCTCTTCGAGAGAAAATGAGTAAACTATGGAATTGTCGGAAGAGAAGTCGATCATGCCCTTCTCCCCAGATTGGCTTTTGCAGAGCTTGAGTATTTTGCCTGGTGAGATGAAGGAAAAATTTATGATGTTTTTGTGGAGGGCTTGGCACCTGAGAGATGATGTCGTTCACAACAAAGGCGAGGCTACTATACAAGACTCAATGATGTTCTTGAGAAATTACTGGGAGTGTTTATCCCTCCCAAATCCAGTTGCAAATGATGTTAAGGGGAAGCAAAAGTTGCATGAAGTTCAGTCTGCTAGCCTACCTTCCCATGTTGATGTGGTTGGCTGTACTAAGCCGCCTGAGAATCACATAAAGATCAATGCCGACGGTTCTTTCATTGCATCCACAAGATTGGCTGCGCTGGGAACGTTTGGCGGGGATTGTTTTTGTGATATTGTCTTCTCAGCGGGTTTCCATTTTCTTGGATGCTTGGATGTAGAGGAAGCTGAAGTCACATGGAGACCCTATCTTTTGGCCTCAACCAGGCTCGTAAACTAAATTTGAACAAAGTGCACATGGAGACTGATTGCATCGTTATAGTGGGCGATGTGAATGATAGTAATGTTAGCAGGGCCAGCTGGTGGGCTTGCTATGAGAACTATAAGGATATGATCAAGGGGTTTGGAGCTTCTTCTGTTTTCAAAGTTCATAGGGAGAGCAATGTAGCCGCACATGAGTTGCTACCTATGCTAGAGTGAATGAGGATTTCTTTCTGTTAGCTGATGTGCCACAAGTTTTGAAACATGTAACTGCTCATGATTGTGACATGGGTTTATTGATATAAATGAAGCTCTCCTTTTCCTAAAAAGAAGAAGAAGAAATAGGTGATCGAGCGTTTTCACATCCAGCAACCAGCTGGGCACGCCAGAAAATGTAGATGATCTATGTTAAATTGCTTATTTATCAACATCTAATACACATATCAATTTTCCCAAAAGAAATATGTGTCTTCTTATCCTATACTACTACTCTATTTTTGTCATGTCCATTGCATACCTCAGTAATAGGCAACATGCCATGAGAAAATGCACCTAGCATTTTCCAAGGCTGAAGCCTTTTAGTATGAATCATGCCAAAACACTCAGCGGAGGTTTGGTAAAGCCATGTATATACAAATTCATCTCAAGATTGAAATCTTGGCATTTCTCCCAAAATGCCACCAATGAGATAAGTGCCTAAAAGGAGGGGAAACCTAGTATAACAAATCTTGATCCATGCGAACAACCTAAAAGCAAGCACAATTTACAGGGAAGGACACCATACCTTCTTAGAACTCCAATTGTTTCTCGATGGCAAGAACCTAAATAAAAACACAACAAACTAAAATCATAGAGATCTTGGCTTATCATCCGTATAATAGCAAGAAAAGAAGAAGAACAAAAACGTGTAACTTCCAATTTGTTTTCACTCATCTCAGCCGGCACTCAGGATTTAGAGGACTGAAGGTTCTTGGTGGTGATCCATGCAAAGCAAGGTGGAGAGTCACTTATAGGTTGGTGAGTGCTGAGTGCATACCGTTGTTCTTCGGTTAATGAACTGAGGCCAGTGGTGAGGGTTGGGAACGTATCCAATAAACCCAGCCTTGTGGTGCTATCGGTGCACTGAAGGTCTAATAAAATCACACTACAAGTGTTCAAAAAATTTGAAAATATTTTAGCATGTACACATAACAATATCAATCATGTCATCCAAGCTGAAAATAGTGGGGAAATTAAGCTGTTAATATTGGGGCTCCGCAATAATTTCTCACAGATTATGATGGTTTTTGGCATAACTTTTTCAATATCTGTTTTTTTATTGGGAAAAAAGAGCTCTGCAGCAGATGCTCAATTCAAATCGCCCCGGGATTAACTACTACAAGTTGCTCGTGAAGGAAACGGAGGAGGAGTGGAGAGGTAACCCTAACCCCCAAATCCTGGAGCGCCTCCTTCAATCCCCAACACTCCCATTCGAAATCCGTAACGCGGACGGCGTCCGGATCGATGGCCGACCACCGCGCCTCGGTCAATTCCCCCGGCGACGCCTCCCCCTGGCCGGCGTCGATTCTCCTCGCCCAGGAGGCGTACGTCGCCGTCAGCAGGAACCACACCACGGCCACAGCCAAATCGAGGGTCGACCATACCGTGGAGGTCACCTTCTGGATCGCCGACCCACCGGCGGTGTCCTTCTACACGTTCCACTGCTCCAAGCCCCCCATCTCCGACTCTGAGGACGCCGACTTGGAAGTTCAGCCACACGTGGTTGACGCGGAGGGCCGATTCGTTCTTATCCGCACCTCTTTTGCTTCCGGCGACGGCGAGTATGAATTCTTCATCTACAAGGGCGACCCCAGGTCCCCGTCCCTCGACAGCGTCCCGCTTCCCGATGATGATTCGCTGCACCGTGTTAGCTAGTTCGGAATCGTGCCCCGTGGTGACGGGGACATTATCTCCTGATTGCACTCTGTGACGCAGTGACCTTGAAGGATTACCAACTCCACATCTAGGATCAAGGAGCTGCTCAACCCATGTCCTGGGGTCCTTACGATTGCACCCGACAAGGCCATGTTGCTCCGAGATGGCGTGCTGGTGTGGGTCGATTTGCTGCACGGCATGTTGGTGTGTGACATACTTCAAGAACGAGAACCCCTTCGTGCGCGCTACATCCCATTGCCTGAGCCATTGCCTAGAAACAGAGAAGAAATTTTGAAGCAGTTAATCCCGGGAGCTGGCGTCAGGCGTATTCGGGATGTTGCCTATGTCGATGGTCTGATCAAGTTTGTTGAGATGGAACACCGCGTCACTGTAACAGAGATTGTAGAGGTTCCTCCTGAAAAGCCGTCTGACCCCAGGGACAAGACTGTCCTCTATGATTCTGACTTGATCATGCTCTACAAGCGTAAACATGTGGACAACATACCCAAGACGCTGCGCACAATGAATGGTTGGAGTGCCATGACATGGACTAGGGAGATTGGGTCTGACTGTTGGCTCAAGGGAGTCATTGTTGATGTTGATGACATTTTGGTCGATGACTCCGCGTTTTCGGTCTTACTGTCTGGCCAAAGGAATGAATCCGCTGGGAGCTTGACATTCAAGAACATGTACTCGGCTTGCTCCATCCTGAGTACAGATGGTAATGATATCCTTTACCTCAAGTTATCCAGGAAATGGAGTGATCGATCTGGATGGGTGGTTGCTGTTGACCTTGAAGAGAATACACTGAAAGTGGAAGCACCTGGGGCGCACCCATTTGGAAGATATTCTCCTTTCGCGGCAAACATTCCTTCCCTGCGCATTGGTGAACCATCTAAAAATGACTCCTGGTAATTGTTCATCTGCTCTTGTTATCAACATGCTTGTGACCCTTTCAGTGCTACGCACAATTTGGTTGGTGAATTATCTTATTTGCTGCTACCCTTTTATGCTCCACGCTATGCATATCTTTGTTAGGGTGTTTAGAGCTACATATGATACTCTCTGTGATCTCTACTGTGAGAAATAGGGCTATCTGGTTTTTCTACCTTGTCTTATGGCTACATGTTAATCTTGTATAAATTGTGGGGTTTTTTTTTTGCGTAAGGGTCTACTGCTGATTCATACTTACACTGTAGAATCCAATCCTAATCTGTGCTGGGCAGCTATATTTTATCAACTTACAGTGCAGATAGAAATTAATGCTGCACTAATGCTTATCAAAGAAATTCAAATTGTTCTATGCATGGGCGTGTGGATATTTACAAGCTGCGTGCTATTTTGAACCCCATCCGAGTCTGCAAAAATTAAAGAATAAAATAGCTTGAGCACTACTGAATACCTGTTTATGACTATGGCATTGCTTATGAGTTTATCTATCTCTTGTAGGCATTAAAGTCTCAGCAATTCAAACCGCACAGACAAGCAGCTCTGCGAATGAGCCAAATAATGCAGCTGTAAGTATTTTCTATCATGTATTATTTCATATTTCAAAAAATTCCGACCTGCTAAAGTTTCCTCTCTTGTGTCCATAGATCTGTGTCGGTGAGCCTGATTCCTATGAATCTGAAAACAAACGTCCAAGGCAGGTTTCTTCCTCTGTTATGAGAACTCTGTTCTTTGAAGATCTTTGCAACGATGATCTGTTTTAAACGTCAAACCATTCAATGTTCTGAATGCTATGCTAATTAGTTTTTGCACATATTGGAGGTCTTCCATATAACTGGTTTTGTTGTTGCTCAGGCTATTGGCTGAGAAAGCCAACCATGCACAAGATTTAGCTCAGAGTACTGTACGGAATGTTCATAGCTCACAGGCTTGTCCTGATCAAAACAATATGGTATGCTGAATCCAGTATGTTTCATTTCCTATGTGTCATAGACCAAGATTAATACGATGAGTCATTTCCAGCCTCCACAACCATGCTTCAACAGATGGGAGGCGCCTGGCTACCGTGGGTACTCATCATGCCCCCCTCAAAACAATCCGGTATGCTGTATTTCATATGCCCTGTTTCCCATGTGTCCATTTTTGCATACAACAACATTTATTAGAATGTGCCACTGCAGCCGCTGCCACAATGTTTCAACAAGTTCACTGGACCCTGCAACCCTGTGTGTGCACCGTCGGCCCCTGCCCCTAACATACGTAGCTACGACAATTATCATTCGCTGTGGCAGCACCCACTGCTACCGGAGCAGCAGATGGCACCTAGCAGGGCATTTGGACCTCATGTGGTAAGAAAATTGTGAAGCTTATGATACTAGTAATTGCGCACGATGCAATGCATGTTAATATTTAAACAATATATTAATTGCATGCTGATATTAGATATGCTATTATTTGTGTGTTAATCCTGTGATTAATGCAATATTTGGTATGATATTAATTACACGTTAAACATGTTTAAAGCTCGCCATTGAAGCAGTCTAGGTCGTTGGATTAACTTAGTTCGATGGTCGAGATCGGTTGGATCTGCCCCTTTGGGTCTTTTTATATTGGTATAGATGATCCCATGTCCTCATTTGACCTGCAGCTGTAGAAAAGACAATCTCGTTGTGTTGTATGATTAGAAGATTCAAGAAATCATGGGCACCATGTTTGTAAATATGCTAAGGATTACAAAAAGAACTAAATATTCGAATAAGTTTGAATCTAGTTCATCGTCATATAATAGGTTGCAAAGATGGAATTATTTATGTCTGCTACGTTATACTGCTTTTGTCCTGTTACTTACAGTTAAATTAATTAAAAGTTTCTGTTTGCAGGCACCCCATCCATAGTTCAACAACTGGCGTGGAGCCAGACACCATGGGAATTCACAGCAACACCCTGCCAGTAACTCATATTACTATGGTGCGCACTCAGGCAGTGGCAACCAAGGATTTGGATTTGGTTACCGTCCGATTTACTATGATTACCGATACTAACCACGTTTACTGACCCCCTCCGGTAAAGCACTCTGCCACCCTTACTGTCTGAAAAATTCCAAGTTAATTTGAATTGGAGGTATATATAATTAACTGCCGTATTCAGTATATATCACGGGTTCGACTCCTAGAAGCATCACTACTGCAATTGCTGTGTTAGTGTATGTATATAGATTTCTACCTCTTTTGTCATTTAAAATATATATTCAAATTTCAGCTTCCCCCTATTCAGTTGCAGCTTCCCTGTAAACACTTAGTGGTGTTTGACCTCGTGCGGTAAGACATCGAGGTATGTTCCAAACTGAAATTTAGATGTGGTTGCACTTGCACGGTTGGCCTTTATGTACGAAAATATTAGCCTCACATAGTTAGATACTGTACACCGAAATGTAAGTAAAGCTGTCCTGCATTAGTATTCACGGGTGTGAAATATGAAAAAACAGCAGCTGTTTTTCTGAAGTGTGAACTCATTAGAATGGCGCTTAACCTCTTAAAGAGGTACTTTGAAAGAAGCGAATGTTTGATAAAGGTGTGGTAAGGGTCAGAGGGTGATGGAGGGTGGCGGCTCCTTGAAGATGGAATAAGGTTCTCCCCGCCTAGCCGTCGCCCTGGTGGTGCGTGTAGCATCGTTGGAGGGCATGTGAAGGTGTGTCTCTGGTGTATCTCGCCGGATTCAGGCTGTATTTTTCTTCGTTCGTCTAAGTTTCTGTGTTTACATGTTGGATCCTTCCAATCTAATCTTCTCTTCATCGGTGATGGTTACTATTCTGGCGTGCTGGTCATGTGGGGCCTTAGCACGACGACTTGACGACTTTTCAACTGTATACTACAATGAAGTTTGCCTGGCTCCGATGAGGGAGGGGCGATAACTGCGGCACACCGTCAGCTCGCTCCAGTGATTGTAGTCGCTATTGGATAGAAGGTGTACGGGCTTGGATGTAATTTATGTTCTTTGTACTACCAAATAGTTGATGAATAGATTGAAAGTTCTTTTCCCCAAAAAAGCCATCCATTGCATGGTCGTTGTGGCCTTGTGGGTATGTTACATCCGGGATATTTATTGTACCTTTATTTCCCAGGGTACTCCTGTTGCCTACCGGAAGATATGGCCCATTAGATCAAGGTTGGAGCGACGGTTAATATTCATTTGTCCCTACCAGAAAACTCATTGCGTGCAAGTTGAGTAGCTACACGTTGGTTTTAGAGAAAAGTATGTTTTTCGTCCCTCAAGTTCCAAAAAGTGCAGACTTCGTCCTTCAACTTTTTTTGGTCTACTTTTGGTCCCTCAAGTTTCAAAAACGGTCAAGTTTCGTCTGAATTCTGGTTTTGCTAGAAAACAGGACACATGGTGTGGTATTCTCTCTCCCCTCGCTTGCCACGCCCGACCTGCCGTTGGGTCAAACAGACAGCCCGCGCGACGCCGTCTTCACTCTCCACCTCGCGCTCTTCTCTTCCTCTTCTCTCTCTCTGTCCCGACCTCACCGTCGCCTTGCCCGGCGTCGTCCCCTTGCTCACCGCCAGCGCCTTGTTCCCCTTCGCTGCCGGCGCCATGCGAACTCGCGAGGAGATCCTTGGGTGGATGAGTGAGGACAGAAGCAGTTGTGCTCCTACACAGGTAAGTGCCAATTTGTGATCTAGGGTTAGGGATTTGGGGATTTAGGATTCTTCCTTGGTGATTGAGGGACTAAGGGGAGGTGCTGTTGGGTGTTGTTTGTCGTTGAATAGGTCTATATGCCCGAGGAACTGATATCTGGCAAAGTGCCGGCCACTCGCAATCGAAGATCCAGAGTTTTGCGGCATTGAAACGGAGAGCAATTTTAGTTGTTTTTGTGGATTTTTGCCGGTGAGAAAGGTTGCTTGTGAAGGTGTGAACACTGGCAGAAGGTTCATTTGTTGCATGCGGGAGGTGAATTTAGTTGTCGCATTCATTTCTTTCTACCAAATCTGCATGGTAATGTTCAGATGAACTGATGCAATTTATTTGAATTTTAGGATGAACAAGCATGCGATTTTCTGATGTGGTATGATCCTGAATGGCCTGCACCAGCGCAGAGATCTATGAATGCACTTTGTGCAGATAAGTTGAAGGCTGAAGATTGTAAGTTGAATTGGAGCTCATGTTGGCCGATAAGATATCTGACATGGAAGAAAAAGAGAAGAAAAGGCAACAGAAGATGATATCCAAGACGAAGGCAATGAAGATGGAGCTAAACAAGAAGGATCTGTTTATCTGGGTGTTAGTTGGTAGCAATATAGCTTTATTTGCAGTGCTAGCTGTGCTTATTGGACTGAAAATGTAATGTTTTGTAAGTTGCACTGCTAGCTGTTGCCAAGAACTGAATGTAATAGGCTAAGATGCTATGTATGTTAGTTTGTTGTGCTTATAAGCACTGACCAATTGTACCTATTTCAGTTGACATTATAAGCACTGAATTATTCTGTACTAAATTGTGCTCTATGTTGTACATATTGGCTTGATCTCTTTTTGGCATTTGGACAGCAAGTAGGCACACATATTCAACAGAAAATGAGAGCAAGCACACAATTTTAAGTGCTAGAAACACAGCCAAGGTTCAACTTAAGAAACATAGCCCAGGTTCATCTTGTTCAGTACACAAGCAACAGGTTTTCTGAAGGAAACAAACAACAGTGTTCAAATTTAACTGAAGGAAACAAACACACAAGTTTTCTGAACATACACACAGGCCTCACTCGAGCAGCTTTCTGGGCACTTTTTTTGCTCTTTTATTTGCTCCAGTGAAGTTGGTGTTAGCAGCTCCAGAACTGAAATTCATAGTAACTTCAGAGCTGCTGCTAACATTGACATGAACATTCTTCACAGTGGCCTTTGAGGTAGCAGTGACCTTGCTCTGAGGTGGTTTGAAAGGCTTGAATCTGCTAACATTTGAAGGTGGCCTTCTTGAAGTAGATGGAATGTCTGATGGAGCTTTTCTCTTGCTACTCACATTTGTGCTTTCCTATGAGGGTTGCACAGGACCCTGCAAGCATTTTCATTAGAGAGCTATGTTTGACATATTGCACAGAAAATAAGGTAGGAACATAGCTAAACACTCACCTTTGTAGTTGGCCTAGAACTAGCCTTTATAGCTGGCCTAGAACTGCCCTTTGTAGTTGGCTTTGGGGCAATTGGGGCACTGCTAGCAGGTGGTTTAGGAGCAGTACACTTTGTTTTGTTGTGACCTGTGCATTTGCAAACAGAGCATCTACTGATTGTGCCAACTTTACCCATCCTGTGCTTAGGTGCAGTGGGTTTCTCTCCCTTCCCTTTCTTCCTCTCAGTTCTTGGCCTTCCTGGCATTTTTACATATCCTGGAGATGTTGGCTTAGGTCTGTTGGATTCAGGCCAAGTTGCCATACCATATACTAACTGGAGGAAGTGTGAGTATGTTGCCTTGAAATTCTGCACTGAAAAGCAGCTAGCAACATAGCCAGAAATGTCATTTGT